TCGGCGGACAATGTTAAAAAGAAAAAATTCAAAAATATAAATATGTACTTTTTAATATTTCATTATTATGCTGTAAAATAAATCTACAACTATTCTTAAAAATTGTGTTTAAATATATTAAAAAAATAATCTGTAATCTTTCTTTCAAAAATATATGCACTCATTTACAACTTCATAATTATTAATCCATGCTCATGAAACGCTATTGCGTACATACTATCTAAGGCTACGTCTGTAATAGTAGATAAAATATATAAGTGCGAGACGCGAAAGCAAACTCAGTTGGTAACGGGGAATGCTGCTTTGATAACAGGATACAATGAAATTATGATTATTGTTTTAGTAACATATATTAATAATTTTGGAAAAGTAAGGGGGAAGGGTGCAATTTAAACAAGCCTGAAGTCAATTTTATCGTCCTGATACTTTGAAAAAGTATTAAGTATTTCAAAAATGAAACCGATTGCTAAAATCCAAAAAATGAATACAGATTCGCAGTTGATAACAGAGCATACTGTAGATTTCTAGCTCATCGAATAGCAATTAAACGTCCTAAATCATAAATAATGAATGCGATAAAAATATGTTTGTTTATTTTAAATATAATGGTCAATTTTATTGCCATTATAATTGTAATTTTAAACAAAGATTATAAAGATAATAAATGGTTCTAAAATATCATAAAATTAATCAAAGAAAATGCACCTTTTAAATTTCCGTATCGATTGTTATATTTATAATCTTTATAATTTTATCCTTATATTTATTATCTTTATAATTATATTTTATTTATCTTTATAATTATATTTTATCTTTATAATTATATTTTATCTTTATAATTATATTTTATTTGGAAAAACCATCCAATCCCGTAATAACCCTTGTGTTCTTGTCTAAAAAAAACATGTATTACATTAAATAAGACAAAATTTAACATTTTTGTGGGCTTATATATTAGCATTGTGTAATTTTTTAATTTATCGACATTAACTTACTTTTTTCGGCAAGCTTTTGACACTCTTCTACTAATTCTTCTTCTGCTTCATCTTCATCTACAATATCTGATGTATAGCCACCTTCGTTTTATCCTTATTATCATTCGATTCCTCCTCCTCTGATGAAAAATCACTGTTGTAATCGGTTTGTGGTAACTTTTGTTTTTATTACGTAAATGACGGGTTTTCCTTGTTGGTGTCTCTTAATCCTCTTTAAGAATGTTCTTGTAAGCATCATCGATGTCATTGCCACTGGCATTAATAGCCAATTCTTCTTTCACGTTGACTTTCTCAATATTCTCTGAAATAACTTCAATTACTAATCAATAAATAAGCTTTGAAACCGTTTTATTAAGAAAGTTATTTAAATTTGAATATTTGGTGAACGAATTTTAATAGAGTATTAATAGGGTCAGCAAAATTGGTACAACATTTCCATTGAAAATTGTAAAATCCATTTCAACCTAATGAACTCCATAAATTAGACTATTACAATCCTCGTCTTAGAAGTTACGAGGGTGGTTTGAAAAGTCCGTGCAAAAAAAAAAAAACTGCTTGATTTTTTTTAATAAATCTTTTTTATTTTTCAACATAGTCTCCTTTTAGGCTTATACGCTTCATCCAACGCTGCTCTAGTTTGTTAATCCCTTCCAAAAAATAGGATTTGTCCAAGTCTGTAAAATAGGCATTCGTTTCTGCAATCACCTCCTCGTTTGAATAAAATCTTTTCCCCGCCAGCCATTTTTTCATATTAGACTTTTTTGTGGGCCAATCGTGGACGTTTCTCTAGCAACTCGGTTTTCAAACGATCCAATAACGATGAATAATATTCGCCTGTAATGGTTTTACCCTTTTCCAGATAGTCGATGAAAATTATTCCTTGCGAATCCCAAAAGACAGTTGCCATAACCTTCCCGGCCGAAAGAATTGTCTTCGTCTTTTTCGGAGCAGATTCCCCCTTGGTAACCCATTGTTTAGACTGTTAATTGGTCTCAGGAGTGTAGTGATGTATCCATGTTTCATCTACAGTGATGAAACGACGCTTAAAGTCTTGCGGATTTTGCTGGAACATCTGCAAACCATTCTTGCAACACTTCACACGATCTCGTTTTTGGTCAATCGTGAGCAATCGCAGCACCCATCTAGCGGATAGCTTTTTCATGTCCAAATGTTGGTGCAAAAAATTATGTACCCGTTCGCTCGAGATGCCTACAGTACTAGCAATCTCACGCACCTTCACTCTTCTGTCAGCCAGCACCACATCATGGATTTTATCAATGATTTCTGAAGTGGTAACCTCAACAGGGCGTCCAGAACGTTCAGCATCTTTTGTGCTCATATGGACACTCCAAAAATTTTGAAACCACTTATAAACTATTCTAAGCGAAGGTGCACAATCACCATAATGTTTATCAAGCTTCTGTTTAATATCCTGAGGCGTTTCGCTTTTAAAAAAGTAATGTTTAATCAATACACGAAATTTTTTTTCGTCCATTTTTTTACAACCACTCGATTTCTTTGAGTGAAACGAATGTAAAACGCAACGTAATTGGCCGATCTGGCTGAAACTTGGTGTGTGCTCTTCCAAGATATGCCACTAACTGAAAATAACCTTGATACGCAGTAGTAGCGCCATCTCTCTGACTTTGCGCGGACTTTTGAAACGACCCTCGTACATTCTTATACACTCTTATATACTCTTATATACACTTTAATACACTCTTTTACATCCTTATACACTTTTATACATTCTTATACATTCCGTGGCAACACGACACGGAATTTCTTCGCTTACGTCCTACTATGAGTCTCGCATGACTCCTTGCGTTTTTCAACTCTTTGGGACTCCTTCTCGACTCGCTTAAACATCTTTATCACTTCAAAAGTACTTAATTTACTGTAGGAATACTTATTTAAACTTTGCTTTATCTCAAATCTATTTTCCCTCCAGCTCATACACACTTCACACCTGTTTATCAAATGCTCAATAGTACTGTATACTGTTTATTTCCCACCGCATCGGTTTTTTCACTCTTTGACTCTCTAGAGCCTTTTAGTGCCCCCTTCCCTCCGAATTCCGCAATGCCGCCAATGTTTTTTTCACACGCACTCATCTCACTTTTTTCACCTCTATCGCTACTTCTCTTAGTGACCATAACTTTTGTATCTTCCTTTTCCTTGACTTTTCTATACATCTTTGCCAATTTACGCAATTCCCTGCTTCTGCCTACCTAACTAACTGCCCTAACCTCTACGCACGCACAACTCTTTTTCACTACAGATCACATCCACGCCACGCACAATGGCACATGCGGCCCCGTTATATAATCAACGCACGCAGCTTTACAACAAAACACGAAAATTGTTTCATCAAATACTGAAATATCTAATTACAGAAACAAAAATCACGGAGCTCCCTCACGTACGACCACTCACACTCGCGTCACCTAACCAAGTTTTTTACGCGTAATATTTATGTTTATAAAATATTGTCATAGAAATAGAAATAGATTATTATAATAAAAGTATGTTTCATTATTTTACGTCATATTTAGCATAAAAAACAGTATTTATTTTCATAAAAGTCAAAGCATTAGTGCAATATAATTTACTTTGTTTTAACAAATCATAAACAGAATGATAAATTGATATTCTGTAAATTTTCGGCACTATAATTTTTTATACCTGTAGGCGATACTAGTGGCATGTATTTGATAATTCTACATTTTATTTTTATTTTTTTAATTATAATGGTACATTTTATTTTTAATTAAAAAGCTATCAGTTATGTTTTTCAAGTTTGATAAATTTGTTGCTATTGATCTGCTCTTTGAGGTAAAGCCCTAATATATAAGTTGTAACGGGGTGGGTTAGCTGGTACAAAATGGGTTTATTAAATTGAACAAACTCCCACGATGCAGAGCTAACCGCCGCTCCGTTAAACACGTATGAGTATACGTGTATTCGCCTTTACGTTTGAAACTTTCGTTTCGATGTCTTCTTTCCAACAGAGTTCTATTAGCCAAATAATTTGAACGCATTATATTTTCCAACAAAAAAATATCAAAATGATTTTTTACCCAAACATTAAACGATAAAATCTTACCGAAATATCAATGTTTATTCAATCCTACAATTTTTTAAATTGCTTACTATCACAAGACAATTGACCCGTTATTTTTGAAAAGTACATTATTTTTTATAAAGAAATGATTGATGATATTGATTAATGTAATTGTATCGTAAGCAAGTCAAATAGTCGTCTTGTGCATGTGTCAACTTACAGTTAGTTGCGGTTGCTGATTAGTGTATATATATTATTTAAATTTCTTTATAAAAAATAATGTATTTTTCAAATATATCATAACAGTGAATTTCTCGTAATAGTGAGTAATTTTCTAAGATGTTTGGATTGAACAAATATTGATATTTCGGCAAGATATTTTCCTTTCAAGTTCGCGTAAAAAAGTAGCATTTTCAAATTTCTTTTTTGCTAAATATAATGCGATCAAATTATTTGGCCAAGATAGATGAATAGAGAAAATTCGACTCTATTGAAATTTTTTTTTTAATTTTGAGTATTTTTCGGGGCTGATCTGGGGGTGGTATATTTAAATAATCAAATAATGATTTTACGATTACGTTTACATGTAGACACGTGACATCTGCTCGTCACAATACACATGATATAGCATCTATAAGTATAGAAAGAATGAAAATTAATATTAGTGTTTGGTTGAGAGATATTTAAAAAATATTTATACCAATTGAAAGAGAAAATTATATGCATTAGATTGACATGTTCAAAATTTTTAAAACTTCATTCTCAGCTAAGACAGACCGAGCAAAGATGGAAAAATAAAAAAACATACCGTCGACAGTAACTATTATTTTATTTAATATAACGGAATCAAATTAAAGGGGAAATTTCTATAATGATATACATAAAGAGCATTTAATAATCTTTAAGCTTGTATATTTTAAAAAATTATTTTTTCACTTTAGTTGCTAACTCAATGGAGCTTGTTTCATTCATGTTGTAAGAAGTTGAACGTTATCTGTATCGTTATCATCATTTAATTCACCATTTAAAATTGAAACTAACCATAGTGTTATCAACGTTACACTAAATTGACAGTAGGTATTTTACGTGAACATTTATAGATATTTTTATTTTAATTTGATTAGTTTTTATACTTCTAACAAATCAACTATTTAAATGTTCTAACTCAAATCACTTAATGTATCTAAGGTTTATAGTTTATTATATAACAATTTGTAATCTTCTGTTTTCTAACATTAAATTTTTTCATTTATTCAGTGTAATAAAATAAATTTTATCTGAATAATTTTGCATAATTTGGTAAGATACATTCTTCATGATCCTTTTTAAATATTTTAACTTGGATTTTAATTAATTTTTATTTTTTGAAAAATTGTTTAATTGAACGTTTCTGAAGAATGTATTCAAAGAAAGAGAAAAAATGTATTCAAGAATGTATTCTAATATTTGTTTTTTATTTCTGAACTAACTAAATATTAAAGAATAGGAATTAATTAATGGTAATATGATCTTACAAGGATATATTATTCAAATGAATAATTTCAATTATAGAAAATGTTGAGACAGTCTTTCCTCAAAGTTAAAATACTACCATATACAGTTTATGGAAAATCTAATATTCATAGCAGTATTTATGTACAACAACAATTACAAACAACACCTGAACTTGTAGAACTTTTTGTTGATGACAAGCCAGTTAAAGTTCTTCCAGGAACAACAGTTTTGAAGGTAAACAAATCTTATATTTTGTAATATAAATGATATTTTTTTGGAGTCTATATATTTTTTTATTAAAAAGAATTCATAATTTATTAGTTTTATTGAGGTCACAATCAAAACATTTGTGATACTTTATGATACCATGCTTTATTTACATTGTAAAAATCATGTAAGTCATTATGTAAATTTATCAAATTATTATCAAGTTATTCAATTATTAATTACACTAGAGTCTATTTGAAGTAAGTTTCCATTAAATTCCTTTTTTTATTAAAAAAGTTATTTTGAACCAATTTACATAGCATCAAAAATTAACTCTCTTGTTAATGCCTACTTGATATGTTACTAATTGTTAATAATTTGTTTTATTTTGCTTTTTAGAAAAGAAATTTGTTTAGTGAAAGGATTTTGATAGAATTTTCTAATTTAATTTTACATTTACCATCAAGTATGAGTCTTGCAAGTATTATATGTATTATACTTGTATTTCCTGTACATCTGTTTATGCTTGTGATCATATTGGTTACTAATTTTAGTTTTATTACTAGTTTATTAATACTAGTTTTATTAATTTTCTAGCTACAGATCCTTTAACACAGTGCTGCTTGATCTCTATCATATGATGTATCTTATTCCTACTCTTTTGCATTTGTATCTCAGCATTTGCAATAGTAGTTTTATTTCCCACCATAATTTAATTAATCCTTTAATATATATCTTGATGAATTAAAAATTAACAATAATTTCTTGTTCGCATTGCTCATACCTACTTACTCTATATCTCTGGTAGAGAAAGTTGAGTTAGCAGCATTCTGAATTTTGAACTTTTATTCCACTACGTATGATAAATTATAACAATCACTCATAAAGTAATTTAAACTTTACATGAGTTATGAGTTTTTTAACCTTGCAAGGACAATTTCAGACATTAAAAACATTTCACAATTTACAATTACATCAATTTCATTTTCAGTGTTATGTATTATAGAGATAAAAGAAAGTCAAATTATATTCATAAAGCTGAATTTCATATTTATTGATGCATAGTTATATTTTATTTAACATCATATATCAAATAATTATATAAGTACACTGTATTACAATATTATATAAAGACAATATTATATAAAGGTACTATGGAATAAGAAAAAAGAATATCAAAATAAAAATAAAAAATTACGATAACTGTCAAAGTAACTTTATAACAACATTGTAATAAATTCCTCATGGTGAGTTCAAAAGTCGATTTCCATCATAAATTTGAAAATTTACAGATAATGACAAACTAATTCTGTACAAACAAATATATCAATTCTAATTAAAGGTTTCGTTATTGGTTTTTATTTGATTATTTTATATATTAATGTTTTTTATTCTTTATTTGTATAATGGGCAATAATGTTACCTCTCACAAAAACAAATTAAATACAGACAACGATTCGACTCACCTGGAGAAATATTTATTGAAATTCATTACCTGTTGATTCTTCAAATGATTTTCAAATATTACAGAATTAGTAATAATATAAAATTACATTAAAATATAATATTGCAACTCAGCAGAGGAAATTAATTTCCTGTTTGCTGGTCTGGGATATAAAGTAACAAGGAAAGTACCCCAGGTGTCGCTGTCTGATTTCAACAATACTGAGATATGTTATAGTTCATCAAAAAATAAAAGGCACGTATTTTTTTTATCAGCGGATATGCACTTTAAGGGGGTAAAAACCACCCTCGAAAATCACCCTCAAAATCACATTTTTTTCAATATCTTCGGTTCTATTCAACATTTATCAATAAAATAAAATGGAAAATAATTGCCATGAAAAATATAAAAAAATGTTTTTCAAATACAAAATGACAGAAAAATGGTGACCTGTTTCGGTGTTTCCGCATAATCTTTTGTTACGGGGGTGAACTACCCCTAAACCTTATTATAAAGAAATGTGGATAAATAATACAATAAACGAATCTTCGATTTTGATAAAATTGTGGTATGTTACAGAGCACTGAAAAGTAGGGAATACGCATCTTTAATCAGCTAATATTCAATAGGGGTTAAGCTGTATTTTCCTAGTATTTGTTTCGTGTAAAATTTTACAGAACTGTTACAAAAATATAAAAAAATGTTTTTTAAATACAAAATGACAAAAAAATGGTGACCTGTTTCGGTGTTTCCGCATAATCTTTTGTTACGGGGGTGAACTACCCCTAAATCCTATTATAAAGCAGTCCTATTATAAAGAAATGTGGATAAATAATACAATAAACGAAACCCCGATTTTGATAAAATTGTGATATGTTTTAGAGCACTGAAAAGTAGGGAATACGTATCTTTAATCAGCTAATATTCAATTAATTTTCAATAACTTTTATGAACTTTCACAATTAGTTTTATTCATTCTTTAAATGATGAACAATAATGATAGTCTTCAAAAAAGTGTTTGAAGCATAAAGATTTTTTATACCAAGCACAGCGAACTATTGCAATATTACTGCAGCCTTCAATCTCGCAATGCGTTTTGCAAGAATCGCCAAAGCTAAAGTCGACAGGGTTCTCAAATTTTCCAGGGTTTACATCAAGGTAACCACTTTTGTACCAAGAATATTTAATAAAATTTTTATATCTTGGGGATGAAAATTGGTTGTGGACTAGAGATTGCAGTTTTATAATATTATTACGTTTATATAATTGCATATTATAATCCATTAAAATTACTTTGTCTGCAAATTGTCTAACATAATTTTTCCAAATGCGAAAGCCAAACTAACTAACTACGTCTAAAGGTTGAATATTTCCTGTTATTCCTGTAGGAATTTTTTTATATTTACTTCTTTATTAAAAGGTGTAACTTCTTTTACTATTTTAGGACAATGTCCACTCCAAGAATCTAATAATAATATACTTTTAGGACCAACTTTCGGAAAATATATTTTTTGTAACCAAATTTTAAAATGACCTGAAAAAAATTATATTTTTTAATGTTGTTGTATAGTTTGTAACAGTTGTGATTTATCCGAGGAAATAAATCGGTCTCCGTTAACAAAAATCAGTCACCGTCGCTTCCACGTTGCGAAGCTAACCGCCGCTTCGTCGATTGAAGACTCACCTCCCGGCTGTTGTGCCGGCTGCTTCGTCGAATGTGCGCTCGGCGCACTGCTCACGCGGGGAAGTCGGTGGGTTCGGGTGGCTGGGCAGAGGAGGCACGTGTGCTTCTGCCCACGTCAATAAACAAGGCGGCCGATCAACTACAGACACCCTTTATTCACTTAACGATTGATACACATTCCATGAAGAAAGAGGCCGAGAGCTTTTCTGAATGACGCACTGCTCAGTCGCGCATTTACAACGCGCGATGTTTTGCCGTAAGAGAGAGAGAGAGAGGGAGAGGGAGAGGGAGAGGGAGAGGGAGAGGGAGAGGGAGAGGGAGAGGGAGAGGGAGAGGGAGAGAGAGAGAGAGAGAGAGAGAGAGAGGGAGAGGGAGAGGGAGAGGGAGAGGGAGAGGGAGAGGGAGAGGGAGATTGATTGATTGATTGATTGATTGATTAAACGTTTATTGAGCTGTGGGGTATGACCCCGTTAGCTTAAGGAAGGATACAGTGCACGCAGGTAATATAATACCTTTATATGATGTAGGCAGATGAGTATGATATGTGGTTGATAAGTAATACAATTTGTGTTGATATGGCGTTACATTTCTAGTAGAGGCGAGCGCGCTGGTTGTAACAAGAGGCACCTCATTGAGAATACAATTTATACTTAAAACTATCTTAAAATTACTAAACTTGGGGTAAGCGCAATGGAACGAGGGTACGCAGCGGGTGGCGCGGCGGTTTGGGGATGGAGACTTAGACTAGAGCTTAGTTAGACAACGCTGAGTTCGCATGGGCAAGAGCTTGAAGGTATGCGGCGGTTATAGTTTAGATGAGAGGGTAGTTTGAGGTTGGTGAGGTGAGAGGTTGTACTGGAGGTAGCGACCTGGAACAAGTAGGTAGGAGGGGTTAGGGGCGAAAGCCGATACGTTATAGGGTCGCTGGACTTGTGGGAGAAGAGTGAGGGCATTCATGTTGCACATATTCTCATGATAAGCACGTTGGGTGAACTCGTCAAGCTCCAGGAGAAAGAGAAGTTCAGACAGCCAGTGTTTAAATTCGGCGAGTCTGTTTAGGTCAAAGTTGGTGACCGCAAGTTGATTCAAAAGGTCCATACCTCGAATTGCGAACGACCATTTCCAGGATTCTGTGCGTGGGGCTCGGAATTGAAAGGCGGCTGGAGTGTTGCGGAGAGAGCGCCGGGTGCAAGTAAGGTCATTTAGTTTAGTGATATGGGGGGTAAGGTAGGCAGGACCGTTGTTACATACAACTTTGTAGAAGAGTCTGGCTAACGCAAGATGGCGCGAAGAAGACAAAGTATGCCAGTGAAGTCGGAGTCTGTGATAAGTGACATGGGTGGTCACATCGCTGGTTGGGATGAAGGGTATGAAACCCGTGACAAAACGCACGCAAGCATTTTGCGCTACTTGGAGGGCATGAGTCCGCGTTTTGTCAAGGTCCATAAAGACCGTGGAGGAAAAGTTTAGAAGTGGGAAGACGATAGCTTCAACTAGCGACTTGCGGAGGGAGAGCGACATGGACTTGCGGTAGAATTTCAGCGAGCTGAGTGAACCGTAGACCTTCTTCACTATCTCGGTAGTGTGGGCTTTCCATTGGAGGGTCGGGGAGAGAGTGACACCGAGACTCTTTGCTGCTGCCACGAAGGGGATGATGGTAGAATTGACGGTGATATGGGGCAAGATGGTGAAATCTATGGAGGAGATAAACAGCTCGCTCCCCAGGATCATAGCCTTCGTCTTGGCTAGGTTCAGGTCGAGGCCGTTTTCAGTGGCCCAATCGGCGACAGCCTGAGCATCACGCTGGATCTGGGCAAGGCCACGCTCAATTTCGTGCGGTGAGCAGTGCAGGTACACCTGTGTATCGTCCGCGTATATTATATGGTTGGCGAAAGTCAG